GAACCATTTTTCTCCGAAGTTTGTTCCTGCCCATCAGAGGAACCACCGGCACTCGATTGACCACTCCCTTCCCCGCTCTGAGCGGTACTCTTCTGTAAGGCGGCTTCTTTGAGTTTACTTGCATTAATTTTCAATTCACAAGAATACATTTTGGGAAAGATTTTACAGTATACACCGTTTGCCCCATAATAATATTCATTCATCTCTTCGTTGACAAAATCCCACGCGTAGCCACCGCCGGCACCGCACCACAGCACGCAGAGGGCACACACCAGCAGCACACGGCCAGTCGTCATCATCGCCATCACTCCTGTCACTTGCGTGTAGCTTTAAGCACAAACTAACAACACGTCAACGCAGAAGAAAAAAAAAAAGTCACGGCACAGTAACAAACACCACCAGCGGACATTAATAAATGGCAGCAGCCCAGCAGCGGTAGTGCACACACACCATGAGGCAGTTGGAATCAGCGAAAGGGGCGAAAACACACAACGCCCCGCAGCAATTAAAAAGCACAAAAAACAAACAAAACAATTAAAAACGGAATACAACTAAACGAAAAGCAATAAAGTAAAAATGGAATAATCCTCTGGGCCGCTGACCGAATCCTGAGTTTATCAATAATAGAAACCAAACCCGATAGGAACAAGAAAGGGATGAATGGAATAAGAATGGATTCACCACATCCTCACAGTTTAACACCAGGTAAGTGTATATATGTATATATATATCATCCGTTAGCCACAATTGTGGCCCTGCTCAATCTATTCGGATGGGAAATGCAAATATAGACTTACGACGTGGCAGACTTTGGAGTCCTCCAGCCACAAGACACCGCCGCTCCCCTTCGCAAGTTCCACCCCTTCGCCAAGTCCTGAAGTGTAAAAACACGACCGCGCGATATGCCATCTGCGGGGTTTTCTGCAGACCGCACGTATGCAAAGGATGCCTGTATTCCGCGAGAGTCCTAAAAGCCCTTGTATCCGTTGCAGCTCCCACGTCATGGCGTGCGATTTTGATCTGCCTTTATTCGCCGCTCCCTGCAGCGAAGTATTGTCCATCCAAACGTCCATGGTGGATGGCAAGATGGCGGAAATAGCCGATAAGGCCAAGCGCTCCGCGCGCGCCTCGGCCAGCATGATGAGAAAACGCTTCCTCCTCCATTTTCCTCCGGCAATTTTAACGTCGCCGGAGCCTGGAATAAAAACGGCTCCCCATCCATGGAGCGATGCATCCGTGATGATGGCGGCCGATGCCTTTTCCGTGGGCTTGATGATTCGCTTACGATTATTCTCATTGATGTGTCGTAATCCCTCGCCCAAACCAACCGCTGATGGTGGAAGGTTCGCCGGCGATGTCTCAAGCACAATTCCCCGGTTAAGTGCGGATAATCGTCGTCGCACTGCCTTGATGAAAAAGTAGTAGTCGCATAAACGCGTGCAAAAAATGGCAGCCGCGTACAAACAGCGTGACGCCATAACCTCCACTCCGCGATGGTTAAGGAATTGAGCGTCGGCATGACGCGTACAGACCGGACAAACCTTTCACTCAGGGATACCGCACGGTGAGTGAGTGATCAAACCGCACCCCCAGAAAGGTGTACTGCGTAGCGCCCAATTAGCGGTCCTCCCCCATTGATGCGTGACAGCCGTCCGCATTACGAAGCACTTGGGCTTCCCACAATGTCGCATCGCTTCTCGACCCTGTGATGCGTATATTATCGATCCATACGACGATACGCACCAATGGAGGTGCAGCCCAGAGGCGGTGAACCACCGTCGTCACCCCGGCGATTGCCGAAGTAATTATAATCTGGAGAATTTCTGGGCTGGCCTTGCATCCCATTGGGGGCCGTGTAAGCTCCACCAGCGTGCCGTCCTCCACGCGGCATCAAAATAGATGCCGAGTCTCCCGCGGTAAAGAGACTTGAAAAAAGGATGCCTTTAAATCCAGGCAGGAAGCGGCCTCAGCCATCACAGGCGGCAAATAATGGGAAATGTGTAAAAGAGGAACATTCGCCTCATAAGGGTCGTCTCTGTTCTTGTCGCGTGGCCACGCGATCCATCGTCGTCGCAAACCGGTGGTTTTCTCCTCCACAACCGAAAAAGGTCTTGTCCATCCGCCGCTTGTTATTGTGGACGAAGCGTCCTCGATTATTCCGGCTTCCCTCAATAATCGCGCGTCAGCGGTTGGAATTCTCCGTGAGCCTTCGCGCGCTTTACCTGAGGAGGAAGACGGAGGGAAAGGGGACCGCCCGACGAGTCCCCAAACTTGCATGAGTCTCTCCAAGGTAGCCGGGTTCAACCGGCTCATGATCCACTTTGGTATTCAATACGGGCACGTTGACTTGCTGTGGCGGGATGGTTCGTTCATCTTGTGGAGTGGTCAGACGCGTCCTTGGCTCGTGTCTCGTTATTGTAGCAGCATGATGATAAAAATTATGGAAAAAACGCTCCTCTGCTTTCAACCAGGGTTCCTGCCCTTCCGCAGTTTCTCCCTTCACATCAATGCGGCCAGTGACGACACCTGGGTCAGCACTGTGGTGTACTTCCACAAATATCAAACTGTGCTCTGGGGAAGTTTGAACGGATTGACGTGCTTCGCCAACTGCGAGATCACGTGTGGGTTCAAATTGTGCGTCTCCACGATTTGAGCAGCGTGCCTCAGCGCACCTCGTTTTATGGAATGCGCCGTGGCATTCCAAGGAGCCAGAGCTCGTTCGACTTTGGCAGTCGTCAGATTCGTGAGCTTTTCGTTTTCTTGAAGTGTTCTGAATGGCTTTATAATGTCGAACGCGTCCTGCCCTCGCATCCTCACGAACCGCGAGGCGCGGTGTGGATCCGCTCTCGCCGTCCTTGACGCCACGGTCCAATCCAAAATTAAGGTCCCTTCCGACTCCATTGTAAAATTGTTGGGAGTTAAGGCCGCAATCTCGGACCAACGACTCGCCGTTATCCACGCAAGTCGAAAAACAACACGTTCCTTCCAATCGGTCCGGCTGCGGATATGTTCATTCATCTCTTCCTTTGTCAAGGGGCGCGCCTGTTTCGTCTCCCATCGCGCCGCAATCTTTTGTAGCCCCAGAATCATCATGTCCAGTGGGGTTCGATCCATTTGCAACATGGGCCGCAGCATCCTGGTGTACTGCAGTCAGGTCGATGGTGCCACATCTAATATTGCCATCAAAAGGCCGCGCAGCTCTCCTTGTTCATCGGCTGTTCGTGCGTGCGGCAAAAGCTTGTAAATCGCCTGCTAGTGACATTCTCTGCTCCCACTTTGACGGCACACACATTTATCGAGCCACCTCGTTTGCTCTCCTCATATAGCTGGCCCAAAGCGGGGATGTCGGTGATTCGTCGTACCACAGTCGAGCGTCGTTGGCGGATAAGCTCCATTGCCCTTCTCGACGATTGCGTCGGGCAATTTGAAAGATCGGGTGGAGCGTCGGCGGTGCGGTGCGATGCCTGTGCGGAATAGCCGGAGTTGGTGGAATGGATGGGGCTGTTTCCGTGCGCCCTCGCAAGCAGTCAGAAGCTTCTCACCGCTCTTTGACGGCCGACCGCGCTGCGAGTCATTCCTTCTGGAAGCACCTAGGACATTGCGTGTAGACGCGTCGTGTCCACAAAGACGACACAACTGACGTCGCAACAATCGATGTTTTTTCGTGGGTGGGCGGGCACGAAGTGTGGAGAGCGGGATATGCTGGGGTTGGTTTTTATCGCGATCTGCATCCGGATGTTCTGCGGTAGGGCACTGCCAAAATCCATGAACTGATCGGTGGGCTCTCGATCTATCTCCAGTGCGTGCCTGCACGATACCAAATCGTCAAAGGCAGGCTGAAACTGAGCGTCCATTTGGTGCCAGCAATAACTGTATGTGCATCGGAGGTCGAACAGGACACCGGAGATGCCCTCATTCCAAATACGCGGGGCCCAAGTGTTGACGTCGAATGCAAGAAAATGCAGTTCCTCTTCTTCGGAACCGGAATGTGCGCCCAAAGATGAAGGTTGTGGAAGGCAGAGGCATCAAGACAGGAAAATGTGTTCTCCCCAGAATCGCCGTGAGACGTTCGGGTATTGACCCGCCGTCTCTCCCCCGTGAGAGTGCGTTGGGGAAACGTGGATGCTGGCACGCTCCCAGCATCAAATGATGCGGTTGGTGTGGCCGTGTGTTTACGTCACCGTCGTGCATGCGTTAGTGGGGGTTCATCTGGCGGCCCTCTCCGAGAGGTGGGCGCTTCTCGTTGACACGGCGTCCCCGCGTTCCGCAAAAAGGCCGCTGGCCACCGCAATGTGGAATTCGCGTGCCGACAATTAAGTATGCGCCTCTTCCACCTGCAAGTAAGGCTGCGCGCTCCGATTATGAACGCCCGCAACGGCGTGGGTGTAGTCCGAGTTTAATATCTACCTTTCCGCAATGATCAGCCCTTGCTGGTCCCCAACCCCCAAGCCGCCCCCAGACGATGGGCAGGAGCAACTGAACATCGAGATTTGGTACTTGACACGCCCGGAGGTTCGCCAAGTGCTCGCAACGGTCGAATCCTCCCAGTGCTTGGCGATCTTTGCTGAAACCAAGCGTAGGCCTGTCATTGTTGCAGCGGCGGTTACCACCGCATCCAACGGCCCGTGCTCATCAATGAATCTGAGCTACACCTGGACATCGCCATGCTGGCGAACCAAGTCCAACATGCGGGCACCAATGTCGCTGCACCCCGTCGCCGTGTGAAATGAAGCACTGTCATTTCCTTCAATCAGCTTGCAGGGATCCCGTGTGACCGCAAAAATAAAAATAATTATAAATCGTCTGAACGCTAACAGTTCCCTGATTCCTTCAGTCGCGGTCAGTCAAAAATTCATAATAAAAAAAGAGAATTGTAAAGAAATATATTCATCGGTTTATCAAGAAACGTATTAATTCAGGTAACCAGTCTTCCTCGTAAACGTCCTGTTCACAGGCTCCCAAAAAAAAGAAATACAACAGAAATAATAGTAATAATGCTATTAATTTTTGCGGCGCGTTGTGTCATCGCTTCCCTCCGACTCGTTGGGGAGTTCCGTCGTCTCTACCGGAGAGTCCGGAATCACCCCACGGTCCTTCAACAGACGTTCCACGAACTCTGGGGGATTTGGCGCATCGTAAAACGGATATGCCCTCAGGCGATAGGAACGCGGATCGACAGGGACGTCTGTACCGATACTTGGGGGTGGGGGAACGATCGCGTTAAAAGGAACAGCGCGTTCCACCCGAAACTCCATGTGCCACCCCGGAACATCCGCAAAGTCTATTTGCACCGGTCTTGTCGTGGTTTCGCCGTGAAACGTCACGTAACCGTAAGCAGTTCCCTTATTTCCATCGCGATTAAAATCAATGGCGGAAAGGGTGACATACTTGTCGTACGTCCCCTCCTGCCACTCCTTGCGGTAAAACCGCTGCCCGCGGCCATCAAATTCCACCTGAGAGGCCAATTGGAAAATGTTCTTTCCGGTGGATGTATTGTACTCGTACGTGGCCACGGTCGCCCGCAATGCCTCCAGCGGATCCACCTGCGATGCACGGTCAACGCACTCCACATCCACCAGTTTTACGCCATCCAACACCATCTTTTCCTTGGCGTTAAGAACAACACCGGGAACATACTCCTTTGCGGCCGTCCACGGCATGCGCCTGCGGTGAGGATCCGGGGAAAGCTTCATTCCCTTTGAGCCCAGAGTCATCGAGCTGCCGCCGTTAAGCGCGTCCCGTCGAAGGGCAACAACAGCCCGCCGCAGCATTCACGAATGCCCTCCTGTCACTTCCTGTGCAAAAAAAAAAAAAAAAAGTCATTGGACGGAAAAGCGTGCACAAATGCCCGGCAAGAAAAGTCAGCACCAGTGAATGAACACTGAAGCCACGGGCGCATGCTCCACAAGCGTCCTTCCTTTTTTGTCCAACTTCTTAGTTGCATGGAAATGGCCCGCAACCGCACACGTGAGAATACAAAGGTAAAAGGCAAGCAGCGTAGCTGTTGAAACACACACACGCGCATCGTATGAAACGCTTCATGGAGAGGAACGGAATGCAGGAAGAAGCGCACACAATCCCCACAGACACCCGCAATCGTGTGTGTTTGTGTGCGTCCCACTCTTCCTCCCCCGATGCATTCCTGTGCGTGTCTCGCCGTAGGGTGCCAAGTCCCTGCACAAACACGCCTCAGGACGCGGCAGCGAGGTTCCCCCAATGACCACCTCACGGCCATACCTTTTGGATACCTCATGGACCGAGCGCCTCTCGCTGCAGGCCACACCACACAAAACAAGCAGCACAATCCGCTGAGAAGTTGTGAGGGCAATCGTCCCACCACCGCCACCACCACCCAGATCAGGATGATTCTCCACTTTGCCACCACACCCTTGAAATGGCCCGGCGTTTTTCCCTGCTCCACTGTTTTGTTCACCACTCGCGCCATTTGGCCTCATCGAATGATCGCGCTGAATCGATGCCAACAACAGCTCAACCCGCAGCGTCCTATTCCTGTCCGTCTCCATAATCATGTAGACCTGCTTCAGAAAGGGATCCCCGTCCGTCGCGGCGTTGCTAGCAGAATCACTCGTGCTCCGTCCGCCCTGCACCGACGCCGTGCTGTATCGTCGCACGCTCCCGGCCCTCCTCGTCACATGCTCGAGGTTCGCAAACAAATGGGCGTTGGGCGTCAGTCCACCGTCTTGGGTCAGCTGCTGCTTCTTGGCCTCCGTCAACTCGTCACTGCCGCTCGCAGTAACAAGCAACAGGAGAAGACGCAGTCGCACTGGCCGGGGCATCGCCGCATCCCCCGTCAGGCGCCGCACGCCGCTCAGTTTTTTCCTGAAGGGGTTTGTGCCCAACGGCGATGTCTTGTTCCACCTCTCACACCTCCGCCAGTCGCTTCTCCCGATACTGTGCCACAAGCCTCTCGCAAATATCGATGTGCAGCGACGGTCTGGCTTGCCTCTCCAGAAACTCCGGCGGAGCCCGCACCGCACTGCTCAACTCCGCAAGCTTGGCCTTCGGCTCCACGCCATGCATCAATCTCGGGTGATCCGCGTCGAGTTCTTTCAGCGCCACCAAAAGCTCCTCCACGCAATGCGCAAGAAAACAATGACGGTACGAGCGCCAGTATACATCTTCCTCATCCATCAATTACTGCCGCTTCGAGTCCACACCCAGACGATTCCTACAGGTCTGCTCATACACGTTATTCTCCAGCGGCATCAGGTCATCAAGCAGACACTGACATGTGCGTTGGTGCATCAGCGGCGTCACCGTTTCGAAGCCTCAATCAACGAGGATCCGCACCGGGTTGCCGCAACTGTCTGCGCCCCTAAGCGAAATCCTGCTCGTCGTGGCAGTGCCTGGAGACACCTCAAAAAAGGTCCCGGCAACCCCATGGCAGATGTTGCCACTGTTGTGGTGGCGAATAACAGGCACACTGTTGTTCACGGCGTCAAAAGCCGCCACAAGACGTGACGCCGCAACATCCAAAACGGACTCTCGAGTCGGAGGCGACAGCAGCTGAGGGAACCCATTCTGCATCCTGGGGTGGAACACCAGCACTTCAGGGGCAGTAAAATCTAACATCATTTCCTTAAAGCTCATCACCCTCGGCGCTGTCCGAGCCCACGCGAGTTGCTGAGAGCGGCGATGCGGAATCCACCCCAGCGAAAAGATGTGTGCATCCATGTGCGGGACCTTTGCCATCCAATCCGCAGCCACGCGCCTCACAGACGCATCCTCCACGGCAAAAAAGTAGAGCGCTGGGCTGCTCATAATCGGCTGCCGCGGTGTCATGGGGTCCTCAAGCAGCGTCACGCCGTGCTCCATAAGATTATGGAGACGCAGTGAGCAGCTCAGCGCAGACGCAGCATGGGCATCAAAGACAGGAACTTTGAACAATCGATGAACGGCGTCGAGCATGTGGCGAAAGATATAATCCCGCACACAACCACGAACGCCATTGCTGGGCTCACGCAGCCGCCCGCTTCCGTCGGCCTTGCTCGCACCAACCCGCCCCGCATAATATGTCAAGTAGAAGTCACACAGAAAATGTGCTTGGATACGCGTGTGTGTGCCTTGTGTGCGCAGATTCCACTTGCACCGGTGTGTGTGCCTCAGAAATCAAACAAAAAAACAATGAAACAGGGCCATAAGATGACTTTGCATCAACAACCATCACAAAAGAAGCACCATGCACCAGACATATCCCAAATAACAAACACAGAGTCAAACAGAGCGGACACGGAACATGCATATGGAGAACGGGACCCATTGAAATGGATGTTTTTCCTATTAGGCAACCAATGCTGAGCGCGGGCCACGCAGGAGGAAGCGCAGTCGCCTCGCAGCGCAACGCCGACCACACCGCAAATCCATAGAGTGTTGCCACGGCGGCAGCAGAGGCAAGCAGAAGAAGCAGCGGACAGGGACAAGCAGCAGCAACAGTGTCATCACCGAGAGTCGGAGGCGTGTCCTGCTCGCCGTCCGTCTCGCTGCTTCGGTCCCTGCAGCCGAGAGAAGATTCTTGCGGTCTGTCAGGGCGTACTGGCTGGAACCACTTCTTCTCTGGCGACGGGTGCTTCTGAGGAGCAGCAGTGTCTACGTCCTTCGGTGGTGTGCCGCGGCCGTGATCAATTCTCTCCGCAACGGGGACGGATGCCCCCTCGCAATCCTTGTCCAGTAGATGCCGGTGAAACCGTCCTGCTCCACATGCTCTCCTCGCCGTCCCACGAAACCACTGGAAGTAGGCTACCGCTGGTGGCGGATATCGTGCACACCTGCGCGTGGCCACGGCAAGCAACGCTTCCCTCACCGTGCGGTCGAGTGGCCCACGCAATCGTCGCCCCGTCCGTGCATGGGACCCAACGAACACCGCCCTTTTCGACCACTCTAAGACGCACCTGCATGACAAGGCACCCCAATGCCGCATGCATGGCAGCACTCAGATACGTCTCCTCCGGGTCCCTCGCATCTGTCGTGTTCGTGGGAAGCGTGTCCGGACACCACGAAGAGGGCCTATCCCCGGGCATCGCAGACAAACATTCTCCCCGCCAAATAACAGCGTCAGCATCCCTCACATCCAGTGCGGGATCAATGACGGTGCAGCTGTCCATCGGGCGTTCTGCGGACATTTTATGGACACTCCCCAAACACCAGCCAATGGAATACAGATCCGACGCGCAGCATTCGACGGGTACGCCCAATTCGCAGAGCATGTGGGAATATTCACTCATGTTCAGTGCAGAGCAATTCCTCTGCTGCTGCAGCGCACAGCACGAATTCCCGCACCAACGCATCGGCTCCGTCATCCCCCTGCTCACCCTCATGCAGCCCAGGGCAGCCAATGCGGCCAGCGTCAGCTCCGCGCAGTCGCCGGCACCCCCAATCGCCGCCATCCACTCATCCCTCGCGTGGCGCCACGACCGGTGCGACTCCAGCGTCCTCCCGTCCCCATCGTCATCCTGCTGCTCCACGCCATCAACGTCGTCGCAGTCGTGGTGCTCCCTCGCTGCCATCGCGGCAGTCGTCGAGTGCACCACCACCGACAGCGCCCCGCCACGCACACAGGCAGCATTCCTCACCATGCCGCGGCCTGCCATGTGCGGGCAGGCAAACCCGACAGCATGGGCCATCAGGTGCGCGGCGATGCGGGTGGCGAGGCGTCCGTGAAACAAGACGGCCGGGCAATGTTCATGGCGCCAGCGACGGGACGGCCATCCTCCAGCGTGGCGCACGGCAGTGCCCACACACCACCCGGCGCAGCAGCCACGCACTGCACCATGTCAGAATTGGCAGCACCAGCGGAACGATGCTCAGCAGGCACAGTGAACCAACTGCAAACACTGCCAGTGGCGAGTGACGGCACAACCAACGGACGCTCCAGTGGCTGGACGAGCAGACGATCCGCATGCAGTTTGACAGCAGCAGGGAAAACCTCCTCGGCAACAGCGTTCCCGTGCGCAGACGACAGAGCACCATTCTTGCAGCCAAACGCGCCGTCCAATGCATTCGCTGTGCAACACCAGGAGAAGCCGCAGTGCCTCCTGCTGTCACACGGGTCCGTTGTTGGCGCCTTGATGCGGACGGGCACCCATCGGTCCCTCCAAACGACGCTGCACATCTGCAACGCATCCTGCGCTCCGAGAGGCACGTCTCCCACCACACCCGGGGACGCCCACACGTCGTCGGCACGCACCGCATCGTCAAGGAAACAGGGATACGTCAGGATGAGAGCAGGACACCCGCCGGCAATTCACATCGCAGGCATCATCACAAGCAGCAGCAGCAGCAGCACTGCAGGCCGCGGGGTGACGTGGATCAACCGACGCATGGCGTATGTGGAAGAAAAAAAGTAATGGCCTGACGAGGATGCAAGAGGCTGGCACCTCTACAAAAAGAAAGAAACGGTATGAGAACACAAAGAGGAGATTTAAACGCCCGCAGTCAATGCAAGCCACTGATAAAAAGGGTGGAATGAGTGCACTCAACCACAACACGAGCAGAGACTCAAAGAAAAATAAAAAAACAAGAAGCCGAAGCGTGGGACGACCGAAGCACACACACTCTCATTGCTCCCGTAAAGCAAAACACACACACAGGGAGAGAGAGGTCGCCCACTCAAAGCAATGAAAAGTAAAAACAGAAATAATTACGGTGCTCCACCCATGCAGCCAAGGAGGAGGACAGCGGTGCGTGTGGTGCAAAAGAGAGCACCAACGGGCCTGCATGGGTGTGCATTCATAAATACGTGAACAAATTATGTGTGTGCTTATTAGGCTGAGGTGAGGGCGAGATTCCATGCAAGGGGACACACACACAGAGAGAGAGAAGGACGAGTGTGTGTGCGGGCGGTGCACGGCTCTCTCTCCCTCACTCTCACGCGGCCACCACCGCAGCTGCTGCTGCACACGCAAGAAGAAAAAGAAAAAGAGGGGAGGTGGTGTGAGAGGCCGCGGTGCTGCCGTCACTCTCGTCAGGCGTCCTCGTGTCACTTGTTTGAGCGGCGGTGACTGTTGCTGTTGCTGGTGTTGGGGTTTCTGTTCCTCCCTCTCCCGGCGGCTGTGATGCCTGTGTACCTTCGCCTGCAGTTCCTTCCGGTTGACCCAAATGACTTTCCTCCGAACTGTTGTCCTGCCCATCAGCAGAATGAGCAGCGGTGACCGTTGGTGTTGGTGTTTCTGTTCCTCCCTCTCCCGGCGGTTGTGGTGCCTGTGGGCCTGTGGCTCCTTCCGATTGATCCAAACCACCTTCCTCCAAAGTTTGGTCCTGCCTCCCAGAGGAACCACCGGCACTCGATTGACCACTCCCTTCCCCGCTCTGAGTGGCTTTCGCCTGTGAGGCAGCTTTTTCCCTTTTACTTGCATTAATTTTCAATTCACAAGAATACATTTTGGGAAAGATTTTACAGTAAGTGCCATTTGCCCCGTAATAATATTCATTCAACGAATCGTTGTTGAAATCCCACGCGTAGCCACCGCCGGCACCGCACCACAGCACGCAGAGGGCACACACCAGCAGCACACGGCCAGTCATCATCATCGCCATCACTCCTGTCACTTGCGTGTAGCTTTAAGCACAAACTAACAACACGTCAACGCAGAGAAAGCAAAGAGAGACAAGTCACACAGCCACGCACCGTCCCATCCAGCGATGAGAGTCACGCACAAAAACAATTGGGTGGGCGCCGCTCGACAACAAAAACAAAAAAAAAGGAGTGCTCCTCGCCCGTGCACCGTTCCTCACACCCCCACAGTTACTATTACCGTTATTCTCTCTCCTCAGTCCCTCACAGGCACGCCACGCTCGCCTCAACACACGCCCCTCCAGCACAGGCCTCGGGATCGTCGGGCCCTTACAGCACAGGTAGTCCGTGATGCGCTCCCGCTGCGCCGCAACGTCCGCCACCTCCTCCCAGTCGAACAGCTCCGTGTCCTCCACGTCCTCCACAATCGCCGGCATGCCCCGGCCGCGGAACACCCACAGCGCCACAATGTCGTGCCGCCTCTCCTCCCCAATGATGAGTGCAACGCCCAACAAGTACTTGCGCACGTGCTCCATGCGCTGGAACCACCCGCGGATCAGGTTGGCCGTCATGAACTGCATCTCGGTGCCCTCCTTGTGCTTGGAGCAGACCCTCACATCTTCTCAATCCACGGCCTGGGTGCTGCGAGAGGCTGCCGAGAAGTGCCACTTTTGTAAAAGATCCAAATGTGCGGAAACAACGGCCACCCTCACTCCATCACACCTCCGCTCCCTCCACTCGCCCACGCACAAGAACGGTGTCATGGGGAAGAGAAGCCCGCCGCACAACACATGCACAAGGGCACAAACAAAAGCAATGCCATCCACGTCGCACCACAAGATAGAGCCATGCGCTCAGCACACACACGGCTGCAACGAGAGTGACGGGCGGATCCAAGTCCACGGCGCTGCGCTTTAGTTCTCACCGCCACGACGGATTGGCAGAACGACTCACAGTGACGCACTGCACACACCATCCGCTCCCCTCCGAGTGCGCTCAGCAGGCCGGCGCCCAGTCACCCTCGTGCCATCGCAATGGGAACACAAACAATCGTCGTCGCGGACCATCAGTGCCTCTAGCAGGAAAGAAGAAGTGGGGGCATGTCAACAGCACGGCCAGCAGAGGGACACTCAACGGGACACGGAGACACACAGCGACAGTGGATACGGTAACAATGGAGGCACGCTGCGGTGAGATACCAAAGAAAAGGAAAAAGTGAGAGTCCGGCATGACCCTCAAAAGAAACAATTAGGGAAATTTAATTCGGCAGAAATTTTATTTCATGTGCCATGCAACGCAATAGAAGCGACCTTGTGTTTCTGTATATAAATATTGCCTGCGCAACAAAAATTAAAGAAAAGTGTTCGGTACCGTTCCACCAGCCCACACAACATTCCTCACATTTCATTGCGGCATCCGGCCTGTTCCTCCGCTCCTCCTTTCGGGCAGTCCGTGGGACGCACAGCAATGAGGCCGGCACCGTCTGTGGGCAAAAGAAAAAATCAAACAAGAGGGGGAAACAAATCACTCATCACGGTATTCATCAACCGAACACCGCGTAAAGAAAAAAACAACAGTACTGATTATAACAGATAAACTGCATTAAAGGTAACATTGAAAAGTAAAAACATTGAAAGAATCAACAAACAGTAAAACGTTAAAAAATAAATAAAAACGGCGGCATAAAAAAGGACGAAAAATGCGGCACGTATTCTCCGTGAGGAGTCGCAAATCCACACTCTGTGGCTCAGAAGACTGCCACCCCCCAAACACAATCCCAGTAGAAGCAGCAACACACAAGACACACACACACGCACGGTATTGTTACCGCTCAAGTCACGCAGTATCAATTTCACGTCTTTGGGAGAGGGCGAGGCGGTCGTCGGGACTCACGCCGCTCCAGACCCTGCAGGGTGACTGTTTGTAGTGGGGATTCGTGTCCAGGGGCGTTGTGCCCATTCATTTCCCTTCTGTAATATCCCCAGCAATGTGCTCTCTGACGCTGTCAACTACTCGAACCCTCTCAGATGGTCTCGGAGCCGCCTCTCTCGTCGGAGCGAGGACCCTGTCCTTGAGTGCACGCATCGCAGTGAAGTTCAGTGGGCGGCTGTACAGAAAAAAGTTCTTCACCGTCAAATGAGATTAGTGCCCACCGCACGCCCCAAAGCAAAACCTCAGGACCTCAGGTGGCCTCTCGCCCGTTAACGGCACCTCTTCCCCCAGCGACCGACCATCAACGTCCACAGAGGCCTTGTTGCCTTGCAGCATGAGTGCCACTTGGCGTTCTTTCCTCGGCTCCCAAGTGCTGCTCCGTGTTGTTGTCTTGCCTTCGAACGTCGTCTCCCACTTCTTCTTGTGGCTGTACGACAGTCCCACGGTATGATTGGACTCAGTGTCCGCCAGCATCGCAGTCAGTAGAGTTTTCTCGCTCGGGGCCTCTTCGATGGTCACCGACGCTACAAGTGTGAAGTAGTGGCTCAAAGATACATGACGCACTTCATCACCCCGAGTGTTCACGGGCCATATTGCCCTGGACTCAAGTCCCGTCACTTGTAACCCATCGTTGGCCTTCGCTGCATTCGTCACCGTTGCATTCAGGCAAAGGTACTCGTCGTTCCACCTGTCATCACTGGCCGCACCGGACAAAACTGCCACCAGCCACGCCGTGGGTATAGACAAGCTGGAGAAGAAAATGCCCTTTTGCGTCCAAGTACTGAGGACGGACTTGATTGCACTCAGTTCCTCCGTCAGGCGGCAAAGTGAGATGACACGGCATTCACAGTTGCCCCTCCCTTGTAAAAGATGCAAACTTCCATCCGAGTGCAGCAGGTTGCCGGCTAGCATCCAATTCGCAGCATTGTCCACGGCAGCCGGTCCAACAGAAAACGTGCGGTTGTTGTCCGTGACCCAAAGGCAGAGCGCAGTGGCCCTTTTCTTCCCCGAGGCGTGCCCCCTCTGAGTGTACAGCATGACCTCCCTTTCCTCAATGGTCGCGGTGATGAGGGCATCCACATGCAGGCTTTCCTTCTGAGGGACTCCTGATCGGGCGTTGACCCACACGCCTTAGAGTGCCCCGATGGCCTCCGTCCACTTTGTCCCCATGTCACGCGACTCGTACACCCTCTGGCCATTCTCGCAGTCAACAATCATGAGAAGTGATCCCTCCCATCCTGTGACGCGGGGGTTAAGGCATTTCGCAGGGGAAATGTCTTCACAGAGCGTCCAGATACTGCCGTTGTCCGTCGAATGCACGATCATGGAGTAAACGTCTTCCGATTCATCCACCGCCATCAGAGGAAACACAAGCGTGCCATCCTCCATCACAACACCTGCGCCACCAGAAGCAATGAACTCCGTCCACTCACCTTGTGAGAAGCAGAAGAGATCAGTTTCGAGAGTGGTTTGGGGTCGCCACATTCGATCCGTCCACTCTGCTTGCCACCCGTGGGATTCGCGACATCACCCACAACCAGTTTCACCTCCAAGCCGCCCTCTCTCCAACACCCACCTTCGTAGGACACATCAGAGCTTCCCGCAAGAGGAAACACTCTGTTGCCCTTCGTGATTGTTGTGGGGCGGAGCACAGCACCCAAACTCTCCTCTCCCTCCGCTGCACCAAGCACAGTGTGTGCCCTCCATGTATCCTTTTATTGACCTCACCAAAAACAGTGGACCAATTCCACGCGGAGTCGATGTACCCCGCAACAAAATCAGAAGAAAAGGGCTTACTTAATTGACCACCTTGATATTCGGCATCCATGTGACCTTCAAAGAAAGCTGCAATTACTCCACCAGCACTGACGAGAGAGAGTGAAGCAAATGAATCCCTCGCCGTAACTGGAACAATCCCATCCTTCGGCTGCACCAGCGTCGTCTGCGCCACAAATAGATCGACTCCCCGCGGCAACTCAACATTTATTAAACCACTCATCGTATCATCAATGGGATTCCCCTTCGGCTCGGTGAAAGGCGTGGGACTTCTTTCGGATGGTGTCGGAGCCACATTGATATTTTAAACGTAAGCAAGCTCAAGCTTCGTCTCGGACGTGTTGGTCGCCGTGTTGGATGCGGGACTCGGATCGACGGTGTTGGGTCCGTCAGCCGCCGCAGACTGTCGCCAATCCTCGTGTTGACGTGGCGGCTCAGCATCAACTTGCGGCGCAGTTGTCCCACCAGATTTTGTGTCATCCTTCCCTTCACGGGGCGGCGGCAACTGACAGATGCCCGTCCGGTCAGCATCGCTGCTCCGTGCAGGCGGATGGATGGTTCCGTCGGGGGAAAATTGACGCCACCACAATTCATAAGGGCCGGCGTATTTATGTGTCGTCACATTCATCGTGGAGGCAACGGTGGCCCCTTCCTCTTTCATTGCACAGCTGGCAGCACAGTTGCTACATGTGTGCACCGCATTGGCCTCATGAAACACAGCACCCAGCACACCATTCCTGCCATGCATGTGCACACCAAAGCCACTGAAAGTATAATTCTCATACTGAGCCTCAGCACTGGCAGGAGAACAATTCCTCCACGCCCACACACACACGCACACGCGCACGCGGTAGCTCAGGCTGCCGTCACTCGGAGCACACGACACATCCACCGCACAACCACCGCATCCGCATCACCAGATACATCTCCAGGACTCCCAGCAGCCGTCACGCACACGGACAAGCAGCAGCAGCAGCACAAGAGCGCAAGGACCAACACGGCGCCGCACCGTCATCATCGCAGTCATCGTCACCCGTAGTGGAGTCGCTGGAGCCAGTCAGCTTATCCGTGAGGCAGAAGAAAAAGAATGCAACAAGAGGGAGAGGGACGGAGCACCGCGGATACAGCGAGGAAGAGAGCAGACAACATGAGGAGAGGGCAGCAGGCCCAGCCGCACAGTTCACACACCACGAGACGGCATCCACGCAAGGAAGGCACACAACGCCAGCAGCCACCCACCATGCAGCAGGAGAAGACATCCACCACCATATCCTCCCAGCTCATTCCCACAGCCCCAGGGAAATGGCAAAAACCC